AATAGTTCTTATAGTCTCGATCACCTGTTTTAAAATGTGTTCAAGTGACTGAGACGATTACTGATTTGTCTCTGATTTGACAATCTTAAATCTATACTTTTAGAAAATATTCTTGCTCTTATTCCTCGAAGAACAAGCAGGTGATTGACAAAGACTGTGCGTCTCAGATCTAGGCCTCTTCATTGATCGCGGAAACGATTATTCAGGTCCTCCTCTAAGTATACCGTCCAGCAGTCAGTCATACGTCAACAAAAAAGTCATGCGCCGAATACAACGTCCCGCGTAACTAAGGGTTCTTACCAAAAGTCATAACTAGCTCGGATAGTCCTGATTAATATTAGAATTCTCTCTACGACATAGACTGAACTGGCTAGCCTGCCAGTTCTGACAATTGTGGGTATATCAAGCGCTATGAGTTAAATTGATATTTAAGTTGCCTTCGTGCAAAATATCATTACATAACTATATGATTTTGTAATAGAGCCGAACAGAAAATTGTAAGAATTAATTATTATAGTTAATGCAATAAACCAAAACTTGGTTTCCCCGCCTTACTTTCTTCCTCTTGTATTAAAAAATTGTCAAATCATTGGTTCTAGATCTTAACCGAAACCCTGTTTTGAAAGAGAAAAAAATATTGGCCTGACTTATACGTCTACAAAAGGCCTAGGAAGTGTCTCTAGGAAGGATGTTCTGAGCCTTCCAAGGTTAAGACACTGACTTTAAATATTGTTTAGACTGTTTTTTGAATAGACTGTTGAAGGGATTAGATATACAATAGCTTCGGGTAGCCACACTGACCGCTGAATCTCACGTTCATGAAAAGCAGGGTGTGTGTAAGGAGGTGGAAGGTTATATCAGGGCGGGCTGGTTATATTATCAAAACTAATGCGTGATAGATTACAACGTACTGCAAATAAATTGAGTTTAGGAGAGAAGTTTGTGATAGTATGCCGTTACGGTTCCGCCCAGCCAAAACGTGTGCTAGTGCAAAAAAAAAAAATACAAAACGGACAGTAGAAGACTTATTAGCCAATCAGTACGGAATGATGTTTTTTCCTGAACGTACCAATCAGGAACAGTCTCCTGTGACATGTATTGTCTTGGAAATAATCAGTCTAGAGTAGCTGTTGTTTTAGGGTATGTTCTTACTATACCGATAGCCTTTCGTGGCGTCACGAAAGGTTATCGGCATAGTATGAACGGCAACGCAGGCCCGGGGCGGCACAAGTCGTTCACTGACACATCAAACATATTGTGCCGACGCCGTTGGCCGTGCACTAATTCCTAGTCCTCATTCCTGAGGAAAGCCTTATTCGTTTTACTCTTTGCGAGCGACAATCCCTTTAACTGATAAGCGGGCCGGGTTAGCTCAGTCGGTAGATTATCAGACTTATAATCTGAGGGTCATGGGTTCAAGTTCCATATCGGGCGCAAATGTTTTCTTCTTCCTATCTTTAATTTTTTCGCTGTTTCTTTTTGAGTTTAAATATGCCTGATTAATAAAATTTTCGTACTAATGGATATCTTCTATTGTTAACAATTTTTAATGCCCATTTACCTTTAAAGGGAAAGTGTCCCGATTATGCGCACGCGCGAGCGTCATCTGTTTTTTCTTCAAAAGACAATAGAACTGTCTTATTGACTCGACAAGATTTCCTTCCGGACGCACCGCCGACGGAGATTTTTTGTTTATATTCTCAAGTAATATTTCAGAATTTCGAAGAAGTCTTTCTTCTTATTTAAAATTTGACTCGCGGCATGAAGACTTATCGCGAATCGCTAGCAGGGCCGCCTCTCGTTCCGCCCGCTTTAAAAACAGTTTTTCTAACGTGAAACTCGTGTCAGAGGTCAATTGTTCCGAATCCAGTAATATTTGCCTGATTTGCTCGCGTTCTCTCAAACGTTTGAAAGACATAAATAAAAATGCAATGTCAACACTATGGGGAATCATAGCAAAGGTTAGTCAATAATTATATTATGATTTCATGGCACTAGTTTTTCTAAACATGTACCGCCTGTTTGTTTGATTTTGTCGGCCTTAGGGAGGAGGTTCATTTAAAAGTTTACTAACGCGTCGTTGCAAAACATTCTGCTTCATGACGCTTCCCTCTACAAGATCTCCTCAATCACATCAACGTCTCAATGGTTTCTTCCTTACAGTCTTTATTGTTGCTGTTTCATTTCTGCGTATTCCTTTCACAATTATCTGAGCTTGTATGGAAGCTAGCAGAAGAAATAAGCCTTAAATCGGCATCAAAGCGCTTCCCATCTTTTGGTCCTCCAGCCAACGGCAATAAAAGTAACGCCAAAAAATCCAGATTTCGCCCAAATCAAAACTTGACGGGAACAATATATCATTGATCTGTAATCCTGAGAAGTTTTAGTGTAGTATTGAACTCGGCCAAGTGCGATGCAAACGGATTTTTCACGCTTCTCTTACTCTCCTCGCATCTTTTGATTTCGCGACATCCTGTCCAATAATCAAAGTTTGGTGCATGCGCAGTAACGGGATACTGTTCCTTTAAGATGCTCATGGCACACAATCCGCAAACAAATGTGAGAATGAACAACCGAAAAAATAATGAATTAGTTTGCTTTTTTTTTGTATAGAGCTCTTCAAACATGTGAAGCAACTTACGGGAGTGAGCCCGGTTAGCTCAGTCGGTAGAGCATCAGACTTTTAATCTGAGGGTCATGGGTTCAAGTCCCATATCGGGCGCACTTACTTTTCTAATTTCTTTTGCTTCTTTATTATTTTGTGCTTTCGTTTTCGTTTATAAGCATTTTTAAAGTTTTTTTTTGTTTCCGTTGTGCGGCTTTTTAGTGTTTGATTTGTAGCCGGCGGGGACGAGCGAAGAGACTGGAGAGAGTTTGGGGTTCCGGTTCATCTCCGTCGCAAAACTCATGAGTATTGGCTCCATTACATTCAGTTACTATCGCCTTTTTTTATAGTTTTTAACAGAATCAGTGAATACTAATATAAAAAAAATCTCACTGTTTAAGAAATAAATTGTGTTGACTCTTAAATTCCATATCGGAACCCAATAAAAATTTTCAGTTTAATAATGCTCATACTTAAAAAAAAGTGTAAAATAAAGACTATTTAAGGTAGGGTCACTAACTGACAAACAAATCACGTACCGTTCGGCCCATATAAAGGAATCCAAGACAGTCCGGATTCCAGGATGACTGGAATTGTTTGTCAGGGGAACCTGAATTTCGGAATCCGGATTCCCTTTTCCATATTTTAATTAATTTGCAAGGTAAAAGAAAACCATGACAAGTGGAACAGGTACACGGAGCAAATCATTTGTTTCCTGTCATGATGAATTAATTATTCATGTCATATAATGAGGCTCTCAAGACCATCATTAAAATTGCCTTTGGCGAACAAAGTATCATCTGACAAGGATACAGCGAAATGAGAGGATCAGTGCCACTTATTTTAGCCTCGATCCTGCTGATTAGTTGCCGCTCATACTCCAATTCAAGTGCTGAATATTGCGAGAATGACACATGCGAATCAATGGACGGACCATGCTTCATTCCACGCCAGAAGGGAATATTAACTCGTCTGGAAGGAGTCAGAGTAGGTTGTTCCGCTTTTTAAGGGGGAGGGGGATATAAATATAATTTCATGATCAAACGAGTATCCAAATGGTGGAGCAAATGAAATTGCTGTCATATGCCATTTTGTCTGAAAAATTTAAATTTATTTTGAACCCAGTACTGAGTACATTGTTTAGTTTCTTTCTTGTTTATTGTTTTACGCGTGAGGTAACAGCCGGTCAGATATCAAATGAGTCATTTTTCTTGTAGATATAAAACTTTTGTGGCCTCAAAATTTGTCTTATAATTTGGATGGGTTACCAAACAGGGAGAATAAAATCTAGAACAGATATAATGAATATGTTTGAACTATTGGGAGTATCAATGCTACTTTGAATAGGGTAACCTAAGGCTGGTACCAGCAAAACTGGAAGGGCGCTGGCATGCATGAGCTTCACTGACATTAGCAACCACTGGCTCACTTGGTTTGTAGACAGGACACTGGTGAACGATCAACATGTCCAACTTCTATTGTAAAACAACGATGGACGAGAAGCTAAACACCCTTGCATGTAGTAGAACGTAACCAAGAACACCCCGGAACCCGTCAAACGCATAAACGGCAAACGTCAAGTAAATGTAGCATTTTACAAATCGGGGTTTCTCTCTGACAGGCGTTGCGGGTACTTCCGGTTTTTTTTTCGGAATGATCCAGGGTGTTCCGGTGCAGTCAGAGTCTTGGCCCTAATGCCAAACGCTCCAGACCTTCTTTAACTTCCAGCTCATTTAGAGTTTCTTTTAGTTGACATCGTGAATTAAATTAGAAACTGCTTGATTGGAATTAATAACTTTCCCTCGGAAAAAAATTTGGACGAACTTCTTTAGGACCGTTGGTACAAAAAGTTCTATTCTAATACTAGATTCTGTAAAAAAAGACTTTTGGACGTACATGTACAGCACTTCTTTTGTATCTATGACGTTTCGCCGCGGTCAGTTTTAAGATCGCATTTCAATCTTTGAAAAATTAAGGTACGTGAATAATCAACAGGCCGCTTTTCACTGTACTGTTTGGATGTATTCTTAACCATCTTGAACCAACTTAGGCTAGCCTTGTAATTCGTCAGTGTATAACAAATGAGGGCAAACAGACGGATCATCTGTCCAAACGGAATCAGGTGCTCAAGTCGTCTTGAATCAGATTCTTCTCCGGAACGGATGATCCATACTTATGGGTCTCAATGGGGTGGTAGCTCCGACGGCTGACGGTTAACTTTTAGAGCTTTTGACGGTTGACGGTTTTTAAGTGGAAATTTACTACAAGAGTTTTAGTAAAGATTATTTTCTATATATGTTTATATTAACTAGTGTGTTTTGGAGGTTGACTTGGCCTTTCACTTATAAAATTTGGAAACAATTTCAGATATAATGGCACAAGGTCTTGAAATGTCTAGAAGGAGTCGGTTTTTGAGAACTGACATAGGAACTGGTTTTCTAGTTTCACTCTAGAGATTCAGTCTTCAGGAGCCAGAAGTCCATGAAAATCAGCAGAAATACTTTAAAAAAAGCAAGATTTGAAACGTCTTATTGAAACTTTTTGATCGTTAATATCAATCTGCATTTTTGACGGTTGACGGTATATATGTGTAAAAAAAAATTACCGTTTTTGACGGTTGACGGCTAAATTTTAGGCCGTTTGAGAGCTGGCGGTTAACCCCGTTGAGACCCTCATACAGCATATATCCAGCCAATGAGAATTTTGTAAATAGAATCAACCGAGGTATAGACTAAGCAAAATTCGCAATAAAATATCAATAGATATTCAGTGTTAATTTATGCCAGTAGCTTCGACATCTGAAAATATTTTGCGCACAGCCATGTGATGTTCTTTTTCCTTTTCAGGTTGGTCACAGCCAGGAAGTGACACTAGGGGAGGATGGAAAATATGACGTCATAACTCGAGCTATGAAGCCCTTATTGTTTGGTTAGTGAAAAGTACCATATTTGCTTCAACCACCAGACTTCTGGCCTGCCTACACATTAGGGACAGACCATTAGAAAAGTTCTGGGGGCGGGGAAGGGGGGATTTTCAAGCCGTATGAATTTTTTTGGCGTCAACTTTTTCCTTCTATGAATTTTTAAGGCCAATGCATTAATATTGTTAGGGGTCTTGACTTGGTGTGCATGATTTTTTGTTTTATTTAATTTTCCCTTGCGCGGATATGTTTTTGTACTTCGCCCCCTCCTTAAATTTTCTAATGGTCAGTCAATTATTGGTCTTTTAGGATTCATACGCTCTGTACATTCTTATATACTTAAGAATGGGCCATTGGCAGCTAAGCCGTCACATGGTGTACAAAAACACCTCGCATGGACTCAAACAACGCTTGAGACGTTGAAAGAATTTTTACGTTATGGAACTCTTTTGGTTTTCTTGCCCCACGTCCGTTTCTTCACTTGTGTCTTATTTTTTTCTTAGAAATTCCCAATTTCCTATCTGAGGAAGAATGTGACTATATCATAACACTGGCCAGTGAGAACGAGCTCATGAATAGTGTTGCAAAAGGAGGGCTCACAGAGGCTGATAACTGGAAATTTGATCCATACAGTGAGTAATAGCACGGCTTCATGAATCTTATATTAAGAAATTAGAGAGTGAAACAATGTACAGTCTGAGAAAACAGCCTACATTTTGCGACGCCACCTCTTGTTTTCCCGCGAAATAGCGTCTCACAAACGAGCGCAGAAATCATATACAGATGACGATCACTAACCAGATCTGGGTAGTACTTCTGATTGTTGGTACCGCGCGGGAAATTTGTTTCAACCGATTCAGGAAGCACTACCCGGATCTGGGTGATGACGCCGCCGTCAGCCTTCATCTTCTTCTTTTACGCCAAAGATCTCTCAGGATCTGTAGACCCACTCTGATGCTGTATTATTGTTAAGTCTCTCTTCTCAGCAAGGCTGATATCCTGCGATGCCGTTGGCCATCAGTATGAAATTTCTGCAAACGTTGCTCAGACGTCATTTCGCGGGGAAACCAGTAGTGGCGTCTTGAAATGGCGGCTGTTTTCTCAGGGTGAACAGCTAGAAAACTGGTAGAAATCACAGTATAGCAAGACATGTTTTCGACCGGCAACCTGTTGTTCTGCCCAGAATCAAAATCAAAAAAACTTCGGTAGTACCACTTTTCCGGAAGAAACTCTTGAAATGAAAGAGAGAGAGAGAGAGAGAGGAGGGGTGTAGATGACAGTCCCAATTAAAGATTTGCCTGTAACTTTTACCAGGGAAGCCGAAATTGCGAAACTCCGTGGAACACGATTCAGTATGAACGAGGACCTCTCGGGTATCAACCAGTGCGGCAAGACCACGTGAAACACTGCTATGCAACTTAGGCCTGGCCAAACCTAGACCTTTCATGAGACGAACGAAACTTACCGAGTTACTCATCAAAGGTTCGACCTTTGGCTCAGTTTAGTTCTCTCCGTCCAACGTTTGACCCAACAGACGATCTTAACTTAATTTAGGTCGACCAAATAAAATTAGAGTTTGGTTTGCTTCATTTTTGGTCTAGGCCCTAGTGAACAGACACTAACTACAAAAGCAGCAGCTAAGGCCTTTCCTGAGACGTACCAAACTCTAAGGTGGGTCGACCTAAATTAAGTTAAGATCCTCTGTTGGGTCAGACGTCGAACTTAAGACGCGTTGAACCGGAATTAACTGAATCAGACCCGAGTCGGCCAGCGGGTGTTCAATAATCAATTTTCTCCCGGACGAGACTAAATATACAAATTTTAAATTTATTGGTTTAGTTCCTCGCATGTTAAGATAGAATTTTGTCCCAGAGACGATCATCAGACGTTCTATCCGTCTGCTTCAGACGGATAGTTAACAAATCGTCCACAATTTTCCGTGATCTGCGCTCTTATAGACCATAGAAATGACGTGATAAAATGTTCAAAACTCAAGTGGATCCACAAGCCGCAGGCGAGTGTTTTCACTGCAAAGTATTAAACATTTTGTGGTGTCATTTCTATGATCCATAAGAGTGTAGACCATGGAAAATTGTGGTCGATTTGTTTTTTACAATAACATTTTTTTTACGAAAAACCAAAAACAAAACAACTGGCACTGCGTTATATGTTACGTCATTTCCATGGTCTATACTCTCATAGACCATAGCTCTCGTCCAATCAGCGCGCGAGGATTCACTCAGTTATTGTAAAAAAGTTGTTGGACGATCCAAACTCATTCAGACGAACTTAACTGAGTCAGACGTCGAACTTTACATGAACATAACTCACTAAGTCTGGTTCGTCACACGAAAAGTTCGACGTTTGGCCAAGGCCTAAGATCAATTTGATTGTTCCTCTTTAGTGATTGACGTTTATTGTTTGTACATTTTTGAATAGTAATTATTACGAGCAACGCATTCTTTAAGATGAAGATCATTCAATCAATTAAAATTTCGTTTTAGTTCAAGGCAAAGCAAATGGACCCAGAGGACTGTATAAAAACTGGGACTTTGATCTAGACGGGAAAATTACTATAGAGGAGGTGAGGTTATAGCTTAGCGGCGGTCTTGATTCCAGGATAAAAATATGTAGTAAACAACACAGTTGATCCTATATCATTTACTGAATTCATGACTAGGTACGGTTCTAAAATATATCAGTTTGACGAAGACAAAGTTTATTTGCAGATAAAAAAGTTTGCAAAGAGATACAGATATCTTTACCTCACGGACGAGGAAGTGAAAAAGATGTAAGTTGTCGCCGTCCATCTACTGTAGTGTGTACTGTAGAATGTTGTGTTATAATGGTTCTAAATGAGTTTTTTCGCAACCAGTTGATTTGGATGATTATTTAAAACAAGGGATATTAAAAATAATATTTTGTTATTTGTTTTTAGATTCACCGACTTGAACTTGCACACTTTTTTAGAGGATGGTATGTAACTACTAGAATAAGCTTAAAACTTTGCACAACGACTCCCAGCAAAACGCCACAACATGCAACAGGATGTGCAAACGGACGCAATGTGTAACATCCATATCCAACAATGTTCGGATCGAGTTGTTGGCCAACACATGTTGCATCCGTTTGCAGGGGGCTTTACTGTGATTGACAGTCTTATCTTTGCATTCATTGCCTCTGGTATATTTCAAAACAAAAAAAAGAAAAGAAAAGAAAGCTACATCATCCTCTTGGTCTAGACAGATCACGCATGCCAGATCGCACTAAGGGTGTAGAGTGCGCCTCTTACTTGCGCTATCGATTCCGCGCTTTATGTGATAAAATACTTAATGAACATTTCTGGGGTTGAGGAGTCTTTCTCGGAGCAGATCAAACCATGTTAGACCAGGATCTATTATGGAGAAAAAAAATGTAGATTTACATCAAATTTGCTCGAGGTAGATATCATGTATACTGAATCGCAAACAAAGAGGAAAAGCAATGGCATGGCAAATGCCGTATTTCCTCTCTAACTTACATGCAACCTCATGTGAATTAGGATACAAACGTTCTATTTACAACCTTTACCCTTGTTTTTCTCCTAGTTTTTTGCCTAATATTTATCTCGAGCAAATCAGATGTAAATGTATTCTGTGAGATCTATTTGCCTTGAAAAGAAGGAATATCATGATGTATATATTCACTGATAAGACCAACTGCTGATAGCTGATAGTGAGTTATATGGCTTAATCAGACCTCTCTTTTTCCAAAATAGGCATAATTACTCCTGAGGAGTTTGAACATTTGAACACCATTTTGATCGACAGTTACATGTATGAAATGGGTCGTAGCCATCCTCGCCACAGAGAAAGATTCAGTGAACAAACATGGCTGACGCAAGAACACGAAGACGGGCTTCTTCAGGGAATTCGCTTGAGGTACAATAAAACATGTCCAGTTTCTTGTACGATGAAATATTTAGAATTATTTTAATTTCATTTTAGATTAATGGGTCTTTTTTCACATCATAACATTTAACCTTATGGCTAAAAGACAAACGAAGAAATATAGTTTTGTTAATCAGGAGTTCGAGTAGCTGAGTTCGCTTAGCCTGTATTTGCAAGCTGTTCGCATTCATTGCTGTGTATTTTACTTTGCAACCCAGTCTTCACGCTGTAAGGGTTGAATGCAAAACCCCAAACCACTTCCACATTTCCCATAATGTACCTCATTCGCCTCCCAAAATTATGCATAACCTTGTTTTTCATTTCTCGTGGGTATTACACACTGTAATTTTCAGGGAGTTATAATAACTCCTCTAGTGGGGCTAATTTAACTCCTTACATTGGAGTTATTTTTCGTGGAGTTATTTTAACTCCAAAAAGGAGTTTAAAGAACTCTTTTTCAGGAGTAAAAGAGACCCCAGATATTGAGGAGTTGAAATAACCCCAAAAAAGGAGTTATCCTGTACCTAAAATTTTTACTCCACTTTCAGAGTTAAATTAACTCCAAAAAGAGTAAAAACAACCCATGTAAGGAGTACAAGTAACCCCATTTCGGAGTAATTTTAACTCCAGACTGGGAGTAAAAAGAACTCTTTTTCAGGAGTAAAAATGACCCCAAATTCGGAGTTAAATTAGGAGTTAAAATAACCCCAAAAAAGGGGTTATCCTGTGCCTAAAATTTTTACTCCATTTTTGGAGTTATAATAACTCCCTAAAAATTACGGTGCAGCCATTCCAAGAGAAATTGAAAACAATGCTTATGCAAAATTTTTTTGGGGAAAATAAGGTGAGGACTTTAAACAAACAAAAGCACCAAGTCAGAAAATGTTATTCCCACGCCGGAAATCGAACCCGGGCCGTATATCGGTGAAAGCGCCGATTATCCTTACCATGTACTAAACCAGGTAGGAGTGATTGGTTCCTGGAGGCAGAAGTAAAGAACTTTATGTCACTTAAGCGAGAGTTGCTAAATAAAACAAACCGCTTTCATTGTAAAAACTGTACTTTTACCTATTCTAACTGAAAGTAAAGAAAAATTTTCTCAGGCAGGCCTGTGGCGACGAGCGAGAGCGTCAAAACCGTAACCAGTGGTTGGAGAACAGAGACATACACAGTGTCATACAGCTTAAATGAATAGGAGTGTTTATAACTTAATTAATATGCAGCGTTTTTAACTGATAACTTATGATCACAGGTTGTCATAAACAAGTATAAATAAAACTGTTTTGTACATTGTTGTCTCATAGGGTTCAAGCCCTAACAAAACTCCCGGATGAGATAATTTACGGAAGCGAGTACATACAGGTACGATGCTGATGAAGATTCAGCTTGTACCCTTAAATCTAAGTCTACTTTTTCCTGAAGTGCTTACCAAGCGTTTAATTATTGATTATCCACTTAAATTTATAAATTTGTAAATTGTACGTTGTTTCATTGTCTAATTATAAGATGGATCCAATCTAGAAAAAAAAAAACCTGCTCTTCTAATTACCTATGACCGCAATTTAACTTGGGGTACTAAATTAAAAATGCCGTTTTTATGTACCTCTATTTAAGTTGGCTTGGTGCAATTTTTTAATTCTTATTACCTGACCTTTCCTTCGTTCTCTCCTGTTCACCCCTGTTTTTAATCCGTTGAGTAGTCTCCCGGCCAAACGGATGTTTTATAGTGTAGTTCCTTTGCTCTGTGTTTTGCTTGCATTGCTTCGCGGCCGTTGACCGAGCTTTCTTCTGTTTACTTTAGTCCATTCCCAGCTCATAAGGTAAACCCACAATTATGCATGAAATTTGATATAAATGATGTGTGATTATATGTACCTCGACTGTATGCTAATTATCTGGCAGGTTGTTCGTTACGGAGTTGACGGACATTACCACGCCCACCTTGACAGTGAAACTCATGAGAATCCGGAGATACGCTGTTGTCATCAGATTCCAAACGCTGGAACAGATGGCCGTGGAACAAAATGCAAGTTGTGCAGGTAATATAGGGATGTCTAGTGCAGCGGCTCACTATCTAGTATGACAATATTTTGGAAATCAAGAGAGCATTCTCTCATGTGGAAACAATGGAATCGAATCTCTGTAAATGGCAATGTGATCCCACTTGCTGTAAAAATTTGTTGCAGTTAAGTTGCTCTTACTGCAATATAAAGTTTCCGTTTGCTCTACGTTGCTCTACATTGAGCATCTTCTTTTTTTAAAGTCACACGATCTTTACGCCAGAAAGGTTCGTTTAATTTTCCTAACATCTTAAACTAATCACTTTGTCAGGTATGTCACAATCCTGTATTTCTTGAATGAAGTACCCGCCGGTGGTGAAACAGCGTTTCCATTAGCTGATAATGCCACTTTCGACAAAGAGGTTTGTGTAATTTGCTGTTCGCACTTCTTTCTATGTAGGAGACCGTTAATTATTACTGGAGTTTTTTCTTAGCAGGATGTTGACTTCTCGCCTGGCCGCAAAATGAAGCTATTCCACTTCCTCAGGAAAGCAATTATGTATTTCCCTCTGGCTCTAGCATTGACCTATTAATGATGAACTGCTTGTTAGCAAATCCACCAGGAGGCTCTACTTCCTCAATTAAACGCAAACAGGAAGGAAATTTTCCATTGTTTACATATGATAGTAAAGCCATAGTAGAGGAGTTTCCTGAAATTTTTTGCGATGCATGTGAGGGCCACCTTTTCTGTTTGGTACCCTGATTGATCCTATTTACCTATCTAATTTCGTCACAATTCATCTTTAATTATACTGTTTTTATTTCATTTTCATACTTTTAATGAATATATACATATATTTTTTTCAATCTTCTTGGCCGATCCAGCGGGAAGCAAGGAAGGGGGGCTGAGGAGTGGTGCCACAAAGATAAATTTTCCCTGATATATTATTAATAGTTCTTATAGTCTCGATCACCCGTTTTAAAATGTGTTCAAGTGACTGAGACGATTACTGATTTGTCTCTGATTTGACAATCTTAAATCTATACTTTTAGAAAATATTCTTGCTCTTATTCCTCGAAGAACAAGCAGGTGATTGACAAAGACTGTGCGTCTCAGATCTAGGCCTCTTCATTGATCGCGGAAACGATTATTCAGGTCCTCCTCTAAGTATACCGTCCAGCAGTCAGTCATACGTCAACAAAAAAGTCATGCGCCGAATACAACGTCCCGCGTAACTAAGGGTTCTTACCAAAAGTCATAACTAGCTCGGATAGTCCTGATTAATATTAGAATTCTCTCTACGACATAGACTGAACTGGCTAGCCTGCCAGTTCTGACAATTGTGGGTATATCAAGCGCTATGAGTTAAATTGATATTTAAGTTGCCTTCGTGCAAAATATCATTACATAACTATATGATTTTGTAATAGAGCCGAACAGAAAATTGTAAGAATTAATTATTATAGTTAATGCAATAAACCAAAACTTGGTTTCCCCGCCTTACTTTCTTCCTCTTGTATTAAAAAATTGTCAAATCATTGGTTCTAGATCTTAACCGAAACCCTGTTTTGAAAGAGAAAAAAATATTGGCCTGACTTATACGTCTACAAAAGGCCTAGGAAGTGTCTCTAGGAAGGATGTTCTGAGCCTTCCAAGGTTAAGACACTGACTTTAAATATTGTTTAGACTGTTTTTTGAATAGACTGTTGAAGGGATTAGATATACAATAGCTTCGGGTAGCCACACTGGCCGCTGAATCTCACGTTCATGAAAAGCAGGGTGTGTGTAAGGAGGTGGAAGGTTATATCAGGGCGGGCTGGTTATATTATCAAAACTAATGCGTGATAGATTACAACGTACTGTAAATAAATTGAGTTTAGGAGAGAAGTTTGTGATAGTATGCCGTTACGGTTCCGCCCAGCCAAAACGTGTGCTAGTGCAAAAAATAACACAAAACAGACAATAGAAGAGTTATTAGCCAATCAGTAAGGAATGATGTTTTTTTTCTGAACCAATCAGGAACAGTCTCCTGTGACATGTATTGTCATGGAAATAATCAGTCTAGAGTAGCTATTGTTTTAGGGTATGTTCATACTATACCGATAACCTTTCGTGGCGTCACGAAAGGCTATCGGCATAGTATGAACGGCAACGCAGGCCCGGGCCGCACAAGTCGTTCACTGACACATCAAACATATTGTGCCGACGCCGTTGGCCGAGAGGGTTTCGTGTACTAATTTCTAGTCCTCACCCCTGAGGAAAGCCTTATTCGTTTTACTCTTTGCGAGCGAACACTCCCTTTAACTGATAAGCGGGCCGGGTTAGCTCAGTCGGTAGATCATCAGACTTTTAATCTGAGGGTCATGGGTTTAAGTTCCATATCGGGCGCAAATGTTTTCTTCTTCCTATCTTTAATTTTTTTCGCTATTTCTTTTTGAGTTTAAATATGCCTGATTAATAAAATTTTCGTACTAATGGATATCTTCTATTGTTAACAGTTGTTAATGCCCATTTACCTTTAAAGGGAAAGTGTTCCGATTATGCGCACGCGCGAGCGTCATCTGTTTTTTCTTCAAAAGACAATAGAACTGTCTTATTGACTCGACAAGATTTCCTTCCGGACGCACCGCCGACGGAGATTTGTTGTTTATATTCTCAAGTAATATTTCAGAATTTCGAAGAAGTCTTTCTTCTTATTTAAAATTTGACTCGCGGCACGAAGACTTATTGCGAATCGCTAGCAGGGCCGCCTCTCGTTCCGCCCGCTTTAAAAACAGTTTTTCTAATGTGAAACTCGTGTCAGAGGTCAATTGTTCCAAATACAGTAATATTTGCCTGATTTGCTCGCGTTCTCTCAAACGTTTGAAAGACATAAATAAAAATGCAATGTCAACACTATGGGGAATCATAACAAAGGTTAGTCAAAAATTATATCATGATTTCATGGTACTAGTTTTTCTAAACATGTACCGCCCGTTTGTTTGATTTTGTCGGCCTTAGGGAGGAGGTTCATTTAAAAGTTTACTAACGCGTCGTTGCAAAATATTCTGCTTCACGAAGTTCCCCTCTACAAGATCTCCTCAATCACATCAATGTCTCAATGGTTTCTTCCTTACAGTCTTTATTGTTTCTGTTTCATTTCTGCGTATTCCTTTCACAATTATCTGAGCTTGTATGGAAGCTAGCAGAAGAAATAAGCCTTCAATCGGCATCAAAGCGCTTCCCATCTTTTGGTCCTCCAGCCAACGGCAATAAAAGTAACGCCAAAAAAATCCAGATTACGAAACTTGACGGGAACAATATATCATTGATCTGTAATCCTGAGGAGTTTTAGTTTTAGTGTAGTATTGAACTCGGCCAAGCGCGATGCAAACGGATTTTTCACGGTTCTCTTACTCTCCTCGCATCTTTTGATTTCGCGACATCCTGTCCAATAATCAAAGTTTGGTGCATGCGCAGTAACGGGATACTGTTCCTTTAAGATGCTCATGGCACACAATCCGCAAACAAATGTGAGAAAGAACGACCGAAAAAATAATGAATTAGTTTGCTTTTTTTTGTATAGAGGTCTTTAAACATGTGAAGCAACTTGCGGGAGTGAGCCCGGTTAGCTCAGTCGGTAGAGCATCAGACTTTTAATCTGAGGGTCATGGGTTCAAGTCCCATATCGGGCGCACTTACTTTTCTTATTTCTTTTGCTTCTTTATTATTTTGTGCTTTCGTTTTCGTTTATAAGCATTTTTAAAGTTTTTTTTTTGTTTCCGTTGTGCGGCTTTTTAGTGTTTGATTTGTAGCCGGCGGGGACAAGCGAAGAGACTGGAGAGAGTTTGGGGTTCCGGTCCATCTCCGTCGCAAAACTCATGAGTATTGGCTCCATTACATTCAGTTACTATCGCCTTTTTTATAGTTTTTAACAGAATCAGTGAATACTAATATAAAAAAAATCTCACTGTTTTAGAAACAAATTGTGTTGACTCTTAAATTCCATATCGGAACCCAATAAAAATTTTCAATTTAATAATGCTCATACTTAAAAAAAAAGTGTAAAATAAAGACTATTTAAGGTAAGGTCACTAACTGACACACAAATCACGTACCCTTCGGCCCATATAAAGGAATTCAAGACAGTCCGGATTCCAGGATGACTGGAATTGTTTGTCAGGGGAACCTGAATTTCGGAATCCGGATTCCCTTTTCCATATTTTAATTAATTTGCAAGATAAAAGAAAACCATGACAAGTGGAACAGGTACACGGAGCAAATCATTTGTTCCCTGTCATGATGAATTAATTATTTCATGCCATATAATGAGGCTCTCAACACCATCATTAAAATTGCCTTTGGCGAACAAAGTATCCTCTGACAAGGATACAGCGAAATGAGAGGATCAGTGCCACTTATTTTAGCCTCGATCCTGGTGATAAGTTGCCGCTCATACTCCAATTCAAGTGCTAAATATTGCGAGAATGACACATGCGAATCAATGGACGGACCATGCTTCATTCCACGCCAGAAGGGAATATTAACTCGTCTGGAGGGAGTCAGAGTAGGTTGTTCCTCTTTTTAAGGGGAAGGGGGGATATAAATATAATTTCATGATCAAACGAGTATCCAAATGGTGGGGCAAATGAAATTGCTGTCATATGCCATTTTGTCTGAAAAATTTAAATTTATTTTGAACCCAGTACTGAGTACATTGTTTAGTTTCTTTCTTGTTTATTGTTTTACGCGTGAGGTAACAGCCGGTCAGATATCAAATGAGTCATTTTTCTTGTAGATATAAAACTTTTGTGGCCTCAAAATTTGTCTTATAATTTGGATGGGTTACCAAACAGGGAGAATAAAATCTAGAACAGATATAATGAATATGTTTGAACTATTGGGAGTATCAATGCTACTTTGAATAGGGTAACCTAAGGCTGGTACCAGCAAAACTGGAAGGGCGCTGGCATGCATGAGCTTCACTGACATTAGCAACCACTGGCTCACTTGGTTTGTAGACAGGACACTGGTGAACGATCAACATGTCCAACTTCTATTGTAAAACAACGATGGACGAGAAGCTAAACACCCTTGCATGTAGTAGAACGTAACCAAGAACACCCCGGAACCCGTCAAACGCATAAACGGCAAACGTCAAGTAAATGTAGCATTTTACAAATCGGGGTTTCTCTCTGACAGGCGTTGCGGGTACTTCCGGTTTTTTTTTCGGAATGATCCAGGGTGTTCCGGTGCAGTCAGAGTCTTGGCCCTAATGCCAAACGCTCCAGACCTTCTTTAACTTCCAGCTCATTTAGAGTTTCTTTTAGTTGACATCGTGAATTAAATTAGAAACTGCTTGATTGGAATTAATAACTTTCCCTCGGAAAAAAATTTGGACGAACTTCTTTAGGACCGTTGGTACAAAAAGTTCTATTCTAATACTAGATTCTGTAAAAAAAGACTTTTGGACGTACATGTACAGCACTTCTTTTGTATCTATGACGTTTCGCCGCGGTCAGTTTTAAGATCGCATTTCAATCTTTGAAAAATTAAGGTACGTGAATAATCAACAGGCCGCTTTTCACTGTACTGTTTGGATGTATTCTTAACCATCTTGAACCAACTTAGGCTAGCCTTGTAATTCGTCAGTGTATAACAAATGAGGGCAAACAGACGGATCATCTGTCCAAACGGAATCAGGTGCTCAAGTCGTCTTGAATCAGATTCTTCTCCGGAACGGATGATCCATACTTATGGGTCTCAATGGGGTGGTAGCTCCGACGGCTGACGGTTAACTTTTAGAGCTTTTGACGGTTGACGGTTTTTAAGTGGAAATTTACTACAAGAGTTTTAGTAAAGATTATTTTCTATATATGTTTATATTAACTAGTGTGTTTTGGAGGTTGACTTGGCCTTTCACTTATAAAATTTGGAAACAATTTCAGATATAATGGCACAAGGTCTTGAAATGTCTAGAAGGAGTCGGTTTTTGAGAACTGACATAGGAACTGGTTTTCTAGTTTCACTCTAGAGATTCAGTCTTCAGGAGCCAGAAGTCCATGAAAATCAGCAGAAATACTTTAAAAAAAGCAAGATTTGAAACGTCTTATTGAAACTTTTTGATCGTTAATATCAATCTGCATTTTTGACGGTTGACGGTATATATGTGTAAAAAAAAATTACCGTTTTTGACGGTTGACGGCTAAATTTTAGGCCGTTTGAGAGCTGGCGGTTAACCCCGTTGAGACCCTCATACAGCATATATCCAGCCAATGAGAATTTTGTAAATAGAATCAACCGAGGTATAGACTAAGCAAAATTCGCAATAAAATATCAATAGATATTCAGTGTTAATTTATGCCAGTAGCTTCGACATCTGAAAATATTTTGCGCACAGCCATGTGATGTTCTTTTTCCTTTTCAGGTTGGTCACAGCCAGGAAGTGACACTAGGGGAGGATGGAAAATATGACGTCATAACTCGAGCTATGAAGCCCTTATTGTTTGGTTAGTGAAAAGTACCATATTTGCTTCAACCACCAGACTTCTGGCCTGCCTACACATTAGGGACAGACCATTAGAAAAGTTCTGGGGGCGGGGAAGGGGGGATTTTCAAGCCGTATGAATTTTTTTGGCGTCAACTTTTTCCTTCTATGAATTTTTAAGGCCAATGCATTAATATTGTTAGTGGTCTTGACTTGGTGTGCATGATTTTTTGTTTTATTTAATTTTCCCTTGCGCGGATATGTTTTTGTACTTCGTCCCCTCCTTAAATTTTCTAATGGTCAGTCAATTATTGGTCTTTTAGCATTCATACGCTCTGTACATTCTTATATACTTAATAATGGGCCATTTGCAGCTAAACCGTCACATGGTGTACAAAAACCTCGCATGGACTCAAACAACGCTTGAGACGTTGAAAGAATTTTTACGTTATGGAACTCTTTTGGTTTTCTTGCCCCACGTCCGTTTCTTCACTTGTGTGTTATTTTTTTTCTTAGAAATTCCCAATTTCCTATCTGAGGACGAATGTGACTATATCATAACACTGGCCAGTGAGAACGAGCTGATGAATAGTGTTGCAAAAGGAGGGCTCACAGAGGCTGATAACTGGAAATTTGATCCATACAGTGAGTAATGGCACGGCTTCATGAATCTTATATTAAGAAATTAGAGAGTGAAACAATGTACAGTATGAGAAAACTGTTTTCTCAAGGTGAACAGCTAGAAAACTGGTAGAAATCACAGTATAGCAAGACATGTTCGACCGGCAACCTGTTGTTCTGCCCAGAAACAAAATCAAAAAACTTCGGTAGCACCACTTTTCCTAAAGAAACTCTCTTGAAATGAAAGAGAGAGAGAGGGGAGGGGTGTAGATGACAGTCCCAATTAAAGATTTGCCTGTAACTTTTACCAGGGAAGCTGAAATTGGGAGACTTCGTGGAACACGATTCAGTATGAACGAGGACCTCTCGGGTATCAACCAGTGCGGCAAGACCACGTGAAACACTGCTATGCAACTTAGGCCTGGCCAAACCTCGACCTTTCATGAGACGAACGAAACTTACCAAGTTACTCATCACAGGTTCGACCTTTGGCTCAGTTTAGTTCTATCCGTCCAACGTTTGACCCAGCAGACGATCTTAACTTAATTTAGGTCGACCAAATAAAATTAGGGTTTGGTTCGCCTCATTTTTGGTCTAGGCCCTAGTGAAGGGACACTCACTACAAAAGCAGCAGCTAAGGTCGAGGCCAAACGTCAAACCTTTCCTGAGACGTACCAAACTCTAACGTGGGTCGACCTAAATTAAGTTAAGATCCTCTGTTGGGTCAGACGTCGAACTTAAGACGCGTTGAACCGGAATTAACTGAATCTGACCCGAGTCGGCCAGCGGGTGTTCAATAATCAATTTTCTCCCGAACGAGACTAAATATACAAATTTTAAATTTATTGGTTTAGTTCCCCGCATGTGAAGATTAGAAGTTTGTCCCGGAGACGATCATTGGACGTTCTATCCGTCTGCTTCAGACGGATAGTTAACAAATCGACCACAATTTTCCGTGGTCTACGCTCTTATAGACCATAGATATGACGCCATAAAATGTTCAAAACTCAAGTGGATCCACAAGCCGCAGGCGAGTGTTTTCACTACATAAGTTTGGTTCGTCTCATGAAAAGTTCCACGTTTGGCCTAGCCGAGACCAATTTGATTGTTCGTTGAAGTCAGGCTTTCCTTAGTGACTGACTTTTATTTATTTGAACATTTTTGATTAGTAATTCTTACGAGCAACGCATTCTTTAAGATGAAGAACATTCAATCAATTAAATGTGCGTTTCAGTTCAAGGCAAAGCAAATGGACCCAGAGGACTGTATAAAAACTGGGACTTTGATCTAGACGGGAAAATTACTATAGAGGAGGTGAGGCTATAGCTTAGCAGCGGTCTACATTCCAGGATAAAAATATGTACTAAACAACACAGTTGATCCTATATCATTTACTGAATTCATGACTAGGTACGGTTCTAAAATATAACAGTTTGACAAAGACAAAGTTTATTTGCAGATAAAAAACTTTGCAAAGAGATACAGATATCTATACCTCACAGACGAGGAAGTGAAAAAGATGTAAGTTGTCGCCGTCCATCTACTGTAGTGTGTACTGTAGAATGTTGTGTTATGGTTTTAAATGAGTTTTTTCGCAACCAATTGATTTGGATGATTATTTAAAACAAGGGACATTAAAAATAATATTTTGTTATTTGTTTTCAGATTCACCGACTTGAACTTACACACTTTTTTAGATGATGGTATGTAACTACTAGAATAAGCTTAAAACTTTGCGCAACAACTCCCAACAAAACGCCACAACAAGCCACAGGGTGTGCAAACGGACGCAATGTGTAACATCCATATCCAACAATATTCGGAGTTGTTGGCCAACACATGTTGCATCCGTTTGCAGGGGGCTTTACTGTGATTGACAGTCTTATCTTTGCATTCATTGCCTCTGGTATATTTCAAAACAAAAAAAAGAAAAGAAAAGAAAAGAAAGCTACATCATCCTCTTGGTCTAGACAGATCACGCATGCCAGATCGCACTAAGGGTGTAGAGTGCGCCTCTTACTTGCACTATCGATTCCGCGCTTTATGTGATAAAATACTTAATGAACATTTCTGGGGTTGAGGAGTCTTTCTCGGAGCAGATCAAACCATGTTAGACCAGGATCTATTATGGAGAAAAAAAAAAAACAACGATGGACGAGAAGCTAAACACCCTTGCATGTAGTAGAACGTAACCAAGAACACCCCGGAACCCGTCAAACGCATAAACGGCAAACGTCAAGTAAATGTAGCATTTTACAAATCGGGGTTTCTCTCTGACAGGCGTTGCGGGTACTTCCGGTTTTTTTTTCGGAATGATCCAGGGTGTTCCGGTGCAGTCAGAGTCTTGGCCCTAATGCCAAACGCTCCAGACCTTCTTTAACTTCCAGCTCATTTAGAGTTTCTTTTAGTTGACATCGTGAATTAAATTAGAAACTGCTTGATTGGAATTAATAACTTTCCCTCGGAAAAAAATTTGGACGAACTTCTTTAGGACCGTTGGTACAAAAAGTTCTATTCTAATACTAGATTCTGTAAAAAAAGACTTTTGGACGTACATGTACAGCACTTCTTTTGTATCTATGACGTTTCGCCGCGGTCAGTTTTAAGATCGCATTTCAATCTTTGAAAAATTAAGGTACGTGAATAATCAACAGGCCGCTTTTCACTGTACTGTTTGGATGTATTCTTAACCATCTTGAACCAACTTAGGCTAGCCTTGTAATTCGTCAGTGTATAACAAATGAGGGCAAACAGACGGATCATCTGTCCAAACGGAATCAGGTGCTCAAGTCGTCTTGAATCAGATTCTTCTCCGGAACGGATGATCCATACTTATGGGTCTCAATGGGGTGGTAGCTCCGACGGCTGACGGTTAACTTTTAGAGCTTTTGACGGTTGACGGTTTTTAAGTGGAAATTTACTACAAGAGTTTTAGTAAAGATTATTTTCTATATATGTTTATATTAACTAGTGTGTTTTGGAGGTTGACTTGGCCTTTCACTTATAAAATTTGGAAACAATTTCAGATATAATGGCACAAGGTCTTGAAATGTCTAGAAGGAGTCGGTTTTTGAGAACTGACATAGGAACTGGTTTTCTAGTTTCACTCTAGAGATTCAGTCTTCAGGAGCCAGAAGTCCATGAAAATCAGCAGAAATACTTTAAAAAAAGCAAGATTTGAAACGTCTTATTGAAACTTTTTGATCGTTAATATCAATCTGCATTTTTGACGGTTGACGGTATATATGTGTAAAAAAAAATTACCGTTTTTGACGGTTGACGGCTAAATTTTAGGCCGTTTGAGAGCTGGCGGTTAACCCCGTTGAGACCCTCATACAGCATATATCCAGCCAATGAGAATTTTGTAAATAGAATCAACCGAGGTATAGACTAAGCAAAATTCGCAATAAAATATCAATAGATATTCAGTGTTAATTTATGCCAGTAGCTTCGACATCTGAAAATATTTTGCGCACAGCCATGTGATGTTCTTTTTCCTTTTCAGGTTGGTCACAGCCAGGAAGTGACACTAGGGGAGGATGGAAAATATGACGTCATAACTCGAGCTATGAAGCCCTTATTGTTTGGTTAGTGAAAAGTACCATATTTGCTTCAACCACCAGACTTCTGGCCTGCCTACACATTAGGGACAGACCATTAGAAAAGTTCTGGGGGCGGGGAAGGGGGGATTTTCAAGCCGTATGAATTTTTTTGGCGTCAACTTTTTCCTTCTATGAATTTTTAAGGCCAATGCATTAATATTGTTAGGGGTCTTGACTTGGTGTGCATGATTTTTTGTTTTATTTAATTTTCCCTTGCGCGGATATGTTTTTGTACTTCGCCCCCTCCTTAAATTTTCTAATGGTCAGTCAATTATTGGTCTTTTAGGATTCATACGCTCTGTACATTCTTATATACTTAAGAATGGGCCATTGGCAGCTAAGCCGTCACATGGTGTACAAAAACACCTCGCATGGACTCAAACAACGCTTGAGACGTTGAAAGAATTTTTACGTTATGGAACTCTTTTGGTTTTCTTGCCCCACGTCCGTTTCTTCACTTGTGTCTTATTTTTTTCTTAGAAATTCCCAATTTCCTATCTGAGGAAGAATGTGACTATATCATAACACTGGCCAGTGAGAACGAGCTCATGAATAGTGTTGCAAAAGGAGGGCTCACAGAGGCTGATAACTGGAAATTTGATCCATACAGTGAGTAATAGCACGGCTTCATGAATCTTATATTAAGAAATTAGAGAGTGAAACAATGTACAGTCTGAGAAAACAGCCTACATTTTGCGACGCCACCTCTTGTTTTCCCGCGAAATAGCGTCTCACAAACGAGCGCAGAAATCATATACAGATGACGATCACTAACCAGATCTGGGTAGTACTTCTGATTGTTGGTACCGCGCGGGAAATTTGTTTCAACCGATTCAGGAAGCACTACCCGGATCTGGGTGATGACGCCGCCGTCAGCCTTCATCTTCTTCTTTTACGCCAAAGATCTCTCAGGATCTGTAGACCCACTCTGATGCTGTATTATTGTTAAGTCTCTCTTCTCAGCAAGGCTGATATCCTGCGATGCCGTTGGCCATCAGTATGAAATTTCTGCAAACGTTGCTCAGACGTCATTTCGCGGGGAAACCAGTAGTGGCGTCTTGAAATGGCGGCTGTTTTCTCAGGGTGAACAGCTAGAAAACTGGTAGAAATCACAGTATAGCAAGACATGTTTTCGACCGGCAACCTGTTGTTCTGCCCAGAATCAAAATCAAAAAAACTTCGGTAGTACCACTTTTCCGGAAGAAACTCTTGAAATGAAAGAGAGAGAGAGAGAGAGAGGAGGGGTGTAGATGACAGTCCCAATTAAAGATTTGCCTGTAACTTTTACCAGGGAAGCCGAAATTGCGAAACTCCGTGGAACACGATTCAGTATGAACGAGGACCTCTCGGGTATCAACCAGTGCGGCAAGACCACGTGAAACACTGCTATGCAACTTAGGCCTGGCCAAACCTAGACCTTTCATGAGACGAACGAAACTTACCGAGTTACTCATCAAAGGTTCGACCTTTGGCTCAGTTTAGTTCTCTCCGTCCAACGTTTGACCCAACAGACGATCTTAACTTAATTTAGGTCGACCAAATAAAATTAGAGTTTGGTTTGCTTCATTTTTGGTCTAGGCCCTAGTGAACAGACACTAACTACAAAAGCAGCAGCTAAGGCCTTTCCTGAGACGTACCAAACTCTAAGGTGGGTCGACCTAAATTAAGTTAAGATCCTCTGTTGGGTCAGACGTCGAACTTAAGACGCGTTGAACCGGAATTAACTGAATCAGACCCGAGTCGGCCAGCGGGTGTTCAATAATCAATTTTCTCCCGGACGAGACTAAATATACAAATTTTAAATTTATTGGTTTAGTTCCTCGCATGTTAAGATAGAATTTTGTCCCAGAGACGATCATCAGACGTTCTATCCGTCTGCTTCAGACGGATAGTTAACAAATCGTCCACAATTTTCCGTGATCTGCGCTCTTATAGACCATAGAAATGACGTGATAAAATGTTCAAAACTCAAGTGGATCCACAAGCCGCAGGCGAGTGTTTTCACTGCAAAGTATTAAACATTTTGTGGTGTCATTTCTATGATCCATAAGAGTGTAGACCATGGAAAATTGTGGTCGATTTGTTTTTTACAATAACATTTTTTTTACGAAAAACCAAAAACAAAACAACTGGCACTGCGTTATATGTTACGTCATTTCCATGGTCTATACTCTCATAGACCATAGCTCTCGTCCAATCAGCGCGCGAGGATTCACTCAGTTATTGTAAAAAAGTTGTTGGACGATCCAAACTCATTCAGACGAACTTAACTGAGTCAGACGTCGAACTTTACATGAACATAACTCACTAAGTCTGGTTCGTCACACGAAAAGTTCGACGTTTGGCCAAGGCCTAAGATCAATTTGATTGTTCCTCTTTAGTGATTGACGTTTATTGTTTGTACATTTTTGAATAGTAATTATTACGAGCAACGCATTCTTTAAGATGAAGATCATTCAATCAATTAAAATTTCGTTTTAGTTCAAGGCAAAGCAAATGGACCCAGAGGACTGTATAAAAACTGGGACTTTGATCTAGACGGGAAAATTACTATAGAGGAGGTGAGGTTATAGCTTAGCGGCGGTCTTGATTCCAGGATAAAAATATGTAGTAAACAACACAGTTGATCCTATATCATTTACTGAATTCATGACTAGGTACGGTTCTAAAATATATCAGTTTGACGAAGACAAAGTTTATTTGCAGATAAAAAAGTTTGCAAAGAGATACAGATATCTTTACCTCACGGACGAGGAAGTGAAAAAGATGTAAGTTGTCGCCGTCCATCTACTGTAGTGTGTACTGTAGAATGTTGTGTTATAATGGTTCTAAATGAGTTTTTTCGCAACCAGTTGATTTGGATGATTATTTAAAACAAGGGATATTAAAAATAATATTTTGTTATTTGTTTTTAGATTCACCGACTTGAACTTGCACACTTTTTTAGAGGATGGTATGTAACTACTAGAATAAGCTTAAAACTTTGCACAACGACTCCCAGCAAAACGCCACAACATGCAACAGGATGTGCAAACGGACGCAATGTGTAACATCCATATCCAACAATGTTCGGATCGAGTTGTTGGCCAACACATGTTGCATCCGTTTGCAGGGGGCTTTACTGTGATTGACAGTCTTATCTTTGCATTCATTGCCTCTGGTATATTTCAAAACAAAAAAAAGAAAAGAAAAGAAAGCTACATCATCCTCTTGGTCTAGACAGATCACGCATGCCAGATCGCACTAAGGGTGTAGAGTGCGCCTCTTACTTGCGCTATCGATTCCGCGCTTTATGTGATAAAATACTTAATGAACATTTCTGGGGTTGAGGAGTCTTTCTCGGAGCAGATCAAACCATGTTAGACCAGGATCTATTATGGAGAAAAAAAAATGTAGATTTACATCAAATTTGCTCGAGGTAGATATCATGTATACTGAATCGCAAACAAAGAGGAAAAGCAATGGCATGGCAAATGCCGTATTTCCTCTCTAACTTACATGCAACCTCATGTGAATTAGGATACAAACGTTCTATTTACAACCTTTGCCCTTGTTTTTCTCCTAGTTTTTTGCCTAATATTTATCTCGAGCAAATCAGATGTAAATGTATTCTGTGAGATCTATTTGCCTTGAAAAGAAGGAATATCATGATGTGTATATTCACTGATAAGAACAACTGCTGATAGCTGATAGTGAGTTATATGGTTTAATCAGACCTCTCTTTTTTCCAAAATAGGCATAATTACTCCTGAGGAGTTTGAACATTTGAACACCATTTTGATCGACAGTTACATGTATGAAATGGGTCGTAGCCATCCTCGCCACAGAGAAAGATTCAGTGAACAAACATGGCTGACGCAAGAACACGAAGACGGGCTTCTTCAGGGAATTCGCTTGAGGTACAATAAAACATGTCCAGTTTCTTGTACGATGAAATATTTAGAATTATTTTAATTTCATTTTAGATTAATGGGTCTTTTTTCACATCATAACATTTAACCTTATGGCTAAAAGACAAACGAAGAAATATAGTTTTGTTAATCAGGAGTTCGAGTAGCTGAGTTCGCTTAGCCTGTATTTGCAAGCTGTTCGCATTCATTGCTGTGTATTTTACTTTGCAACCCAGTCTTCACGCTGTAAGGGTTGAATGCAAAACCCCAAACCACTTCCACATTTCCCATAATGTACCTCATTCGCCTCCCAAAATTATGCATAACCTTGTTTTTCATTTCTCGTGGGTATTACACACTGTAATTTTCAGGGAGTTATAATAACTCCTCTAGTGGGGCTAATTTAACTCCTTACATTGGAGTTATTTTTCGTGGAGTTATTTTAACTCCAAAAAGGAGTTTAAAGAACTCTTTTTCAGGAGTAAAAGAGACCCCAGATATTGAGGAGTTGAAATAACCCCAAAAAAGGAGTTATCCTGTACCTAAAATTTTTACTCCACTTTCAGAGTTAAATTAACTCCAAAAAGAGTAAAAACAACCCATGTAAGGAGTACAAGTAACCCCATTTCGGAGTAATTTTAACTCCAGACTGGGAGTAAAAAGAACTCTTTTTCAGGAGTAAAAATGACCCCAAATTCGGAGTTAAATTAGGAGTTAAAATAACCTCAAAAAAGGGGTTATCCTGTGCCTAAAATTTTTACTCCATTTTTGGAGTTATAATAACTCCCTAAAAATTACGGTGCAGCCATTCCAAGAGAAATTGAAAACAATGCTTATGCAAAATTTTTTTGGGGAAAATAAGGTGAGGACTTTACACAAACAAAAGCACCAAGTCAGAAAATGTTATTCCCACGCCGGAAATCGAACCCGGGCCGTATATCGGTGAAAGCGCCGATTATCCTTACCATGTACTAAACCAGGTAGGAGTGATTGGTTCCTGGAGGCAGAAGTAAAGAACTTTATGTCACTTAAGCGAGAGTTGCTAAATAAAACAAACCGCTTTCATTGTAAAAACTGTACTTTTACCTATTCTAACTGAAAGTAAAGAAAAATTTTCTCAGGCAGGCCTGTGGCGACGAGCGAGAGCGTCAAAACCGTAACCAGTGGTTGGAGAACAGAGACATACACAGTGTCATACAGCTTAAATGAATAGGAGTGTTTATAACTTAATTAATATGCAGCGTTTTTAACTGATAACTTATGATCACAGGTTGTCATAAACAAGTATAAATAAAACTGTTTTGTACATTGTTGTCTCATAGGGTTCAAGCCCTAACAAAACTCCCGGATGAGATAATTTACGGAAGCGAGTACATACAGGTACGATGCTGATGAAGATTCAGCTTGTACCCTTAAATCTAAGTCTACTTTTTCCTGAAGTGCTTACCAAGCGTTTAATTATTGATTATCCACTTAAATTTATAAATTTGTAAATTGTACGTTGTTTCATTGTCTAATTATAAGATGGATCCAATCTAGAAAAAAAAACCTGCTCTTCTAATTACCTATGACCGCAATTTAACTTGGGGTACTAAATTAAAAATGCCGTTTTTATGTACCTCTATTTAAGTTGGCTTGGTGCAATTTTTTAATTCTTATTACCTGACCTTTCCTTCGTTCTCTCCTGTTCACCCCTGTTTTTAATCCGTTGAGTAGTCTCCCGGCCAAACGGATGTTTCATAGTGTAGTTCCTTTGCTCTGTGTTTTGCTTGCATTGCTTCGCAGCCGTTGACCGAGCTTTCTTCTGTTTACTTTAGTCTATTCCCAGTTCATAAGGTAAACCCACAATTATGCATGAAATTTGATATAAATGATGTGTGATTATATGTACCTCGACTGTATGCTAATTATCTGGCAGGTTGTTCGTTACGGAGTTGACGGACATTACCACGCCCACCTTGACAGTGAAACTCATGAGAATCCGGAGATACGCTGTTGTCATCAGATTCCAAACGCTGGAACAGATGGCCGTGGAACAAAATGCAAGTTGTGCAGGTAATATAGGGATGTCTAGTGCAGCGGCTCACTATCTAGTATGACAATATTTTGGAAATCAAGAGAGCATTCTCTCATGTGGAAACAATGGAATCGAATCTCTGTAAATGGCAATGTGATCCCACTTGCTGTAAAAATTTGTTGCAGTTAAGTTGCTCTTACTGCAATATAAAGTTTCCGTTTGCTCTACGTTGCTCTACATTGAGCATCTTCTTTTTTTAAAGTCACACGATCTTTACGCCAGAAAGGTTCGTTTAATTTTCCTAACATCTTAAACTAATCACTTTGTCAGGTATGTCACAATCCTGTATTTCTTGAATGAAGTACCCGCCGGTGGTGAAACAGCGTTTCCATTAGCTGATAATGCCACTTTCGACAAAGAGGTTTGTGTAATTTGCTGTTCGCACTTCTTTCTATTCTATCGAAAGTATTTTTTATGCTTCATTTTCTTTATGTAATATTTTTCCCCTCTTACCCCTCCCTTACAGACGCCCACGAGCCACCCAGGCTAAGTGAAGATCGTCAAAAGTAATTTCCAATTAACTGAAACGCTCCCGTAAAATTTTCACTTGCAGCTTATAGGAGCCATTCGACCAAAACAAGACCTTTACAACCTGAGGGAATATTGTCATAAATCGAATTTGGTTGTAACTCCCAGAAAAGGAACTGCTATCATGTGGTATAACCACTTCATGGACCCGGAAAGTAACTGGATGGGAGAAATGGACCCATATTCAATTCACGGAGGATGCGCGGTAAGGAAAGGGATCAAGTGGATCGCAAATAATTGGATCGCCGCTCCATATAAAAAGCATGCTCATGTCCCAAGCACATACAAACTCGGCCCGGACACTTCTTTTACCGAATGGGTGTGACAAGATCTGAGGGGCTGCAGAGGAGAGTTTCCTGTTCTGCATTACAAACACTGGCAAAATAACAAAACAATTGTTCAATACTGCGCGAAGCGCTGTCAATTGGGGTTGCTCGACTATGATCAGTGATTGAGGCTGTTTTAAACTCTTGAAAAATACCGTCAACACGGTACTCTAGCATCAAAAAATTAAATTCTCATTTGATGTCTTTCTACATTTCCTATTAAAGAATTGGCGAGAAGTTGTTTAAGTATCCGAATTCAATTCATCTTGTGATTTTTTTTCGCTTTGTTTTATGAAGCATAGATATTACAAGGAGAAACTGATTGCCGTTGATCACTCTCTTGGCTCAAGGGTCAGCGGTAGGTCATGGAAACAAAGTTTATGTAGTGGACCTGCGTTCATTTTCAAAGAGGCAACGACTAATGTAAGGGCCTGGCCGAGCTACTGGTGAAGGTTTTTGGCTTTTTAAATTGATATAGATAAAAAAATGTACAACTGTGCAACTGCAGCAACTTGTCTTATAAGACAGAAGCGACAACAACAGCGTTATTAAAACTTAGCATAAAGAAATGAGGTTTGCAGATTACAAGAAATATTTTCAATAAAATAATTTACCGTTGAAATAAAAACGAAAAATATAGTCATAAGCACTCAATATTATCATAGTAGGTTTTTGGAAAATAAAGAAATCGTGAATGCAATAATCCTTTGCAATAAAATAATGTTTCTGAGAGGGTGATTGCCTTATTAACTTACATGGACCAGTGTCCAAGACCGTTTATCTAGCACTCCTATAGTTTTGTTTTTTTTTCCTCGCCTCCTCCGCACCCCCCTTTTTCTTACAGTATTCCTAGCAATGTGCTTTCTTCTCCCCCAAACAGCAAGGTTTAATAGGATTAGACCTAGAGGGAGTAAAAGATCAGGGAGGGAACTGCAAGGAGGTCATTTCTTTCACCTCCCCACCTCTTATGGCTGCGCGCCTGACGAAGTTTTCTCGAGGGCTAAACCGTCACTTGCGAGGAAAATGACACACTAAGGGAAGAGAGAATTTCCTTGTGGATGGGGCGTTTTCACACGCGCTCGCGTATTTCAATCAGACAGCCACTCTACTTTCCTTTAGGGAAATATTAGGCAGTAATTTTTTATTTAGTTTACTACTCATACTACACCAGGTTACCTTCGTCGCTTACTGGTGATTGTTTAGATACCGGTCCCTATAAGCTACAGCACTCTAATATGACCCCCTAGTACGACTAGAAAAGCTTAAAATAGCTAGGTTCAAGCTGAACAAGGAGGAATTACTGGACAGTGTAAAAGTAATCCTGTCGGGCGATCTTCTTATTATTATTCTTTTTGTTTCGGAGAAGCACGAAATTCGAGAAAAGCAAAGGGAAAAAAGGAAGTAGCCTGTTCACAGACCCTCTATTTCCGTCAAGCGCGCGTCATAAAACATAAATCGCGAAAAGAACGAAAAGAAAAATAAAACAACGTCCGTGTACAGGCTGAAAGGAACCGCCCTATTCCCCCCTCCTCTTAACGAGAAAAAGGATGAAGGACCGCTTGATGGCAGGTTAAAGTAATCCCTGCAGCTTTCATACAAGGCTTTTGTCGAAAGTTACACAGTACAAGATACCTCGTCTAATTTTCACCAATTATGTATGACGTATATTCATATTGATGAATGCCACGTATGTTTACCCAAATGTGGAAATCACATCATCGCTCTACTTAAAGTCAAGCTTTTGCCGGGGATTTAGAAGTAGATTTTCGTATTCCTGGCGTGCCGAACTTAACGAGGTGGGTTTCATTAAATACAGCTAAAAGTAATTTACCCATATCACAGAAAGATGTATCCATTAAGGCATCTATTATCTTTGTAATAACGCGTGTTTGTGCTCAAAAACGTTTTACACTTTAATTATGGTTTTTGAATTCCGTCTTACTTACAGATATTGGGGATTCATTTTTCGCACACCCTTCGCCACGCTTCCAAGCTCTTTAACATAGAAACTAAGTTTGATTGTAAGAATAACTCGCCGCAAAGGTTGCTTACCATAACGATCCGTACAAAGTACTACACAAATCAGCTGAACAGACGTAAAAGAGTGGAAAAATTACAATGCCCTGAAAGCATCCCAAACGAACTCCGCGAACCATTTGATTTTCCAAACGGGATTTCCGGTTTTTC